TTTCCTTTCCCAGTTGTACAGATGGCTTTTCCAGTTGTATAGAAAGCTCAGTTATAACAAATAAGTGCCAATTCATGTTGACCCCTGATGGGATTTTCAAGGCAGAAAGTGAGCAGAGGTGGTTTGCTATTGCCTTCCTCTGCATAGCAACCTTGGACTTCCTTGGTGGTCTCCCATCCAAATACCAACCATGGCTGACTGTTAAGTCCTGAGCTTAACAAATAGTCAGAGAGTGATTTCAGCCAAAAGACTCAAGTTTATTCTCTTCACGATCAGTTCTCCAACACGGTACAACATCTGATAGCCCGAACAGTTTGTCCATTGAAACTGCTCGGTATTTAAACATTCCCGGCTAATATAGCCACTCCTACTTTACAGATAACAACCTATCAGGATGATCGCATAGAGCGTCCCCCCAGTGGCATACCCACAGTGATAATATCACCTCCAGGTGACGTAATCGCGCCAGGCTGGTTGGACGCTGGGAAGTTCTTTAGGGTTGGGGCTCCCCCTGCTGGCAGCTGGCCCAGAAATTGGGGGAAACCCCGCCCCCATTGGGGGGAATGGCAACCCTACCCTATACTCTTGCTATGGCCTGGCCTTTTCCGATCCCCAGCACACTTTCTGGCTCATGAAAGATGAACCAGTGCAAACATGAGCTGGCTCTGTCTCAGGGTGCGCAATTCTGGGACGTAGCGCCTCTAATAGAGATTAATAGACAGATCATTTTTTTTTTTTTAGAATTCATAAATCCCCCAAAGTTAGTATGGAATGAATGTTGTCATCTCAGGGGTGTGCTGTTTGCACTGGCCATCTTGACTCCCCCTGGCCAACATGGGAGGAAGGATTTATTGAAACCAAAGCCCCAAAAGTTTAAGTAAACCTAAATTGGGTGCAGAAAGCAGGGGGTGGGTGGGTGGGTTGTTCACAACTTTCTCCTAAATCGGCCAGCAGCTGATGTGCTATTGTCAAATAACACATTTATTTTGATCCTTCAAAATGTTTGCATCTGTGTCTGCTACTAAGAATGGAGGCAAGAAGTCTTCTTTTAAAATAAAAAACCTTTCACTCTAATAAAAAAAGAAAGTATTTGAATTTAATTTCAATTTAATTTGTGTCATACTTTAGATTTATTGAAGCTGGGACAATGGAAGACACTGATGGGTATTTCGTCAGGTTTGCTCTCTGGCTGCCAAGCAGTCATGGCTCATAGCAATTGTTGGCACAGGATACAGAGAAGGCTCTGGGGCTGCGGTGTGCACTGGGAAGAGTGCCTGGAGAGGGCAGGGTGGGGTGCAGCCAGGTGAGAATTAATCATGTGCTCTGTGCTAAGTAAAGTGTGCCACTGAGTCTCAATCGACTCAGGGCAACTCCATGAAGTTGCACCTCATCTCATGTGGTTTTCAAGGGAAGAGATGAGCAGAGGTTGGTTTGCCTTTGCCTTCCTCTGCAAGGCAGCCCCAGTCTTCCTTGGTGGTCTTTGGTGGTTTCACATTCCCATCCAGGTACAAATGCTACTTAGCTTCTGAACTCTGGTAAGATTGAGCTAATATTAGCCTTAGGGCTCCTAACAGAATTTAAGATTCTTTACCTGAGTATCAGGAATCTTGATCTCTGCTAGGGTTGCCAGCCAAGCATTGGTGACCAGTGGGCGATGTTGCCCAGTGCCAATATGTGCCTCTCATTGCCTCCAGAGCACATCCAGAAGAGGGCAACCAGGATGGTGAGGGGAAGTGTTCCCTCTAAGCTAGCTCACAGTTTTTTAGCCACCAGCTCATACATTTTTGTCTTAGCTCAGGAAGGATGGCTCCAGAGCAAACTAATTTATGCTGGTTGGTCATCTGTCAGGGATGTTGTAGTTGCATATTCTCACACTGAGCAGGGTAATAATAATTATTGTCATAGCATTGTGTGTAGAATAGCCAAGAGAGATCCTAAGATTGTCTGGCAGCCAGAAGTTCAAGCTAGATTTGTGAGCTAGATTTGTTTTTAAGGCAAGAGATGTTTCAGAGGTGGTTTGTCATTGCCTGCCTCTGCATCATGACCCTGGGATTCCTTAGAAGCCGCCTTTCCAAATACTAGCCAAGGCTGACCCTGCTTAGCTTCCAAGATTTGATGGGATCGGGCTGAGCAAGGGTTTGAACCAGATGACCCCTACGGTCACTTCCAGCTCTAAATGGCACTTTTTTAAAAAACAAAAGCAATTGTTTTCAAATGGCAAGATTCAACCACTTAGGGTTCCATGCAGATCTTCAAAGAGAAAACCATTCACAGTCTGAAGGCTAGAAAGGGGCTGAACAAGACTTCCAGTGGTCAAACACAAAAGTGGAAACTGATTTTCAAAATATGATTTTGAACATTCTGAGGTTGGAATTTTGGCAATGTGAAAAAAACTAAATTAAAGTTGGCATTAAACGTACATATTCACAACGATTTTAAGTGGCTTACAATGAAAGCTGAGTCTGTGTGAAAGATCTGCCACTCATCAGTGAGAGAGTGGCTGTGGCACTCCTGTTGAAAGTGCATGCAAAATGGCCCTTTCCAATGCTCAGGAAAGAGACTACAAATAGAACTGCTAGTTTCATGATCTTGACCTACATGGCCCAGGCTAGCCTGATCTCATCAGATCTCTGAAGCTAAGCAGGGTTGGCCCTGGTTTGTACTTGGGTGGGAGACCAAGGAAGTCCAGGGTTGCTGTGCAGATGTAGGCAACAATGGATACCCTCCTCTGTTTGTCTCTTGCCTTGAAAATCCTACTGGGTCACTATAAGTTGGCTGTGATTTGACAGCACTTCACACACACACACACACACACAGTTTCATGCTGCCCTCAGTGTGGTTCACATTTGGAATATTGTGCACAGTTCGTGTTACCCCACACCAATAAAAGACACCCTAAAGCAAGGAAAGGAGGGGGAAAAAGATCATAGAATCATAGAGTTGGAAGGGACCTCCAGGGTCATCTAGTCCAACACTTGCACAATGCAGGGAATTCACAAATACCCCCCATGACCTCCGTTCCATGCCGAGAAGATGACAAAAACCCTCCAGGAACTTCAGCCAAACTGACCTGGGGAAAAATTGCTTCCAGACCCCAAAGTAGTGATCAGCATTTCGCTGGGCGTGTAAAAAAGGGCCACAAGAACTAAGCACTGAGGCAACCCTTCCTTCCCTCCCTCTCATGATCTGCCTAAGTTCACAGAATCAGCATTGCTGTCAGATGGCCATCTAGCCTCTGCTTGAATACCTCCAAAGACTGAGAGCCCACCGCCTCCCAAGGAAGCCTGTTCCACTGAAGAACTGCTCTAACT